TCTACTGTTGATTGCCTCTAATGTGCTTTTTATTTCAGTTATTGTGTTCTTTAGTTCTGATTTTTTTAAATGTTTTCTCTCTCCATTTTTATGTTTCCTATTTCTTTGTTGAAGTTCTCTCTGAGATCATTGAGCATCCTTATAACCAGTGTTTTGAATTCTGTGTCTGGTAGATTGCTTGTCTCCATTTTGCTCTTTTTCTGGAGCTTTGTGCTTTTCTTTTATTAGGGCATGTTTCTTATATCCCCATTTTGACTGCCTCCCTATTTGTTTCTATGTATAAGGTGGGACTGCTGTGCCTCCTGATCTTAGTAGAATGGCCTTCTGTAGTAGGTATCCTGTGGGTCCCAGTGGTGCAGTCTCCCTGTTCTGTTGAAAAAGCAGCTGATAGTCTTATGGCAGCTCCTTTGTAGGTAACCAACTACATCAGGTCACCAGAGTGAGGTGCTTCAGGTGTGTCCCTTGTGTGGGTTGTGTGTACCTTCCTGTTGTAGTTGAGTCTTGGTTGCTGTTGTACTTTGTTGCTTTCAATGGGAGGGATTGAACCTCAGGCTGGTTGGTTGTGAGGACTGGCTGTGACAACAGTGGAGGAACTGTGATGCAGGAGATGACCCTACAGAGCAGGCTTCACTTTAGCAGGGCTCTAGTGCCTACACAGTCTGCCTTTTGGGTGTGTCATGATTAGACATGGCCGGGTGGTGCTCCTGCTGTGTCTGAAGCTGGCCACCAAATGTGCCAGCCCTGGGGCCTCTTGGGAGGGGACCCAATGAAGGCCAAGTTCAGCTGCAGCCTGTGCCCTGCCTGGTGCCACTTGGCATGAGCCAGAAAGCAGTTCCTTTTCAAAGCCTGCTTTCTGAACATGATAGTAAATCCATGGCCTCACAAGTAATGTTCTAAAAATTTCTTGGGTGGACCCAAACTGTAATAAGTGCAGTATAACTTAAAGCAACATGGTATGTTATACTGTAATGTTTTAATTTAATTGGAAGCCAGAAACTATATAGTAGTTTTCTTTAGTAAGCTTTAATGTTTTGAATGACAAATATATAAATTGCATGCATTAATATAACTTAAAATACCTATACTTAGTCTCAATTGAATTATTATACCTAGTGAGCTATTTAAAAAATCCTTTGAAAGTATAATCTACGATTTCCAATGTCACTAAAAAACATATCAGTAGTCAGCTTAAGTATGGGTGAGGATCTAGATAACTACCTTCTTATTTTCTGTGAAACATACCACATGCACAATCTTGACAAAAGTTGGTTTCATGAATACATTTAATCATTTTGTGATTGATAGCATCAATATAGCATGCTTTCAATGATATATTTTATGTGTTATCCATTTTGGAAAGACTATAATATTCCTATTATCTTTCTTCTCCAAGTAAAAGCCAAATCAAGAAATCTTCTAAATGCCAAAAAAAATATACACATTTTAAGAAAGGAAAACTGTATTGAAATTGTAATAATATATACTGATGACAAAAGATGAATGTAAGTCATGTTCAACTTCTGCAATTACAAAAGGTGCTCAAAGTGGTTACCATCAGCATCCAGACACTTCTGATTACGGTGAACTACTGCTTGAGCAACGTTGACCCAAGTGTCCACTTGTATACATTTTTTTGCCACACCTGGTAGTATTATAACATCAGATAAACTGATGTTATATTTTTAGCCTTTTTTTTCTTAAAACAAGAAAAAGTCCTTCAAGTGTTATACTGTTGTTATTATTTTAAGATACATATTACAGATTTTTTCAACAGTCAGTTGAAAGGCTCTAAAAAGGTGATGGGTTTCAGATGAGCATTTCTTCTTTTCTGGGGGAGTGGAGGTTGGGCTTACCATTCGTTAAAGACTGCTTGGTGCATGGTCACTTTGAGGTCTCATACTCGCATCTGCCCTCTTATGCCACTCAACTAACTGAACTCACGTTTCCTCAGACTGCCACGATCAGGAATTCCAGCAATGAGCTGCAAAGCAACCTCAGGTCTGAGGCTGGGTTCTTAGAAATTAAAGGTACTTAGTGTAGAAAGAGCTACATTATGGATCTAATAAACATAGCATGCTTCTCTACACTCTGGCCTTGTAGCTCTAAATTACCCCTGCCCTTTTAACATGTTCTTAGTCAATTAAAAGTACAGTGTGTGATTCTAAGTAGAAAAAGTGACACTCATATGGAATGCTCTTCTTACTATACTCTTCTGCTATATGCGTATACGTTTTACTCAAGTGGTAGATTATCTTAAAATAGTAATTCAGTAGCTACTTAAAAATAGCTACCTGTTTTACCCACATCGTTAGATAAAAATTATCTTATAATGATAATGCACATTATAGGCGTAGTTCATAATAAGAAGTTTAACTAGTCAGGAATTGCAGAGCACTGAAGTTAAACAATTTTGCTACATTGAATTCAGTGCCTGCACATCAAGAACATCCAAATAATTTTTTTTGAAAGGGTCAATAAGTGAATGAGTGGATAAACCCAGCTTGCATATTTTTACAGGAAACCATTTTCCCTATAAATTGGGTCTTTCTAAGATTGTGTCTAGATAAAAAGCCCAGACTGTGTCAAAATTAAAAGCCCGAACAATTATCTGCTTATATTGATTTAATTCAGTTTAATGCAACTCATCTCTCTATTTTATTTCATCTTTAAATAGCAACTTAAATGGGACTGTAAATACTTTAAATAACATAAATTTAAGACTAGTGATTTCTTTATATTGTTAATAAATGTGAGACCATAAGCCAGCAGAGGGTATCAGAATAAAATATACTCTATAGGGTAAAACTCTTGTTCATGGCAAGTATAGGCATTTCTGTAGCTGTAAAAATGCTCCACAGCCACTGTCTTACCTATTCTGTAGCATTTCCTTATAATGTAGTCTAATACTTTAATCTTCCAAGTAGCAAATATAGGTAATAAGAACAAAAAAGCATTTCTGTCCCAACACCTCGTAGCAGAACCCTATCTAAGGGGCAGCAATGTAATAAAAACTTTTTTTATTAACTTAGAATTTAAGTACTGAGTCTTCCTTTACTTAGATGGTAACTTATCATTGCATTTGATCCAGTTTCTTATCTATAGAAGTTTCTTATTGAGCTTGGCTAAATGAACACGTTTTTTTCCCTCCTAAAACTCCCAAATACAGTAATACAAACTTAAAAGAACAAAATATTGGGAAAGGAGATGGTAGAAGATGCCAGAAATCAACACAATTTTTGGAAAATGCTAAACAGATGAAGTGGTGGTCTAACTAAATTAGAGAGCAGAGAAGGTCAAAACTTAAACCCCTGCAGAAAGAGATGCTGATGAGCCATCTAATAGTGAGAGCCCCAGAGAGTTGCAGGAATTGAGGCACAAAGAACTTCTTTGCAAGTACTTTTAATTGGTAAACTATGGATACATGTGGGGGTGAGACAGGAGCTGAAACCAGGGTCAAAAGAATCTCTAAGGGTCAGTTAGACTCTACTTTCCCATCCCCATTTTTCTCTAGAAAAACTAAATCAGACAGGTGTCAGTCCTAAGGACAGCAGATGAATCAATGGAGAAGTCTGGGAAATTGGATTGGTGAGGGGGAAATAAGAATTTCAACTGTACCTGTGATTTTAGTCATTCAAACAAGGTGTAATGCAAACATATAAAAAGCTAATGATTGAAACATCGTGGTGGTGGTCTTAGAAAATGGAGTAGCAGGATTAATTGGGTAAATGATGACTAATACCATATGTGCAATGTTGTATTATTAATTTTCAAGTGAAGTCAGTATTAGTTTTTGTTACTAGAACGATAACTATACAAATCCACCATCATATCAATGTTTATAAATGTTTTATTGTTGAATTAATAATACATTGTGCAGAGTCCCTCTAATCTACCCCACAAGCTATGCACTGAGGCAATAACTTTTGGAAATCCCAGGTAAACTTTACAACCCTGTCTCAATGTGTGCGCTGAGGAAACGTGCATTTATTTTAATATTTTCTTTAATAAAACATTTCTCAATTGTAAGGCTTTGGCTAGAAGGTTATCAGTTTTCTCTTCTTGCACAGCCCTTTAAGTTCACAACCCCAACCACCTTCCATGTAGCACTCTCATACTCCAGGCCACTATACACTCATCCTAATAGCCCCAGCACAGGTACCAGACAATGGGAGGCAGTCCCTGTGCCCCAGAGCCCACTTAAGTTATTCAAATTAGCCAATTCTAAACCTACTTACCCTGCTTAGCAATTCCTTCTCAGGGAAACCAAAATAGAGGCTCTTGCTCACAGTTCTCCTTCTGCCTCTTCACTGACCCTGCTGTTTCCTCTGAGTGGCCCTGCATGGTAGTCTCATCCCAGGGAACTGTGAATAACAAATACCCAACTCAACTATCTAACTCTCTTATCTCTCTCTCTCTCTCTCTCTCTCTCTCTCTCTCTCTCTCTCTCTCTCTCTCTCTCTCTTTTAAAGATTTTATTGGCAAATTGGAGAAGGGGAACAGTGTTGGGGAATTGGGGAAGGGGAACAGCCATGTTGTTGTCCTTCATTCTTAATTGCAGAGGGCGTAGCTAGCTCAGCTCCAAGTCCAGTCGCCATCTGGCCTCCTGTCGGCAGCTCACAGGCGCTCAGCTCAAGGTGTCGTGTTCAATCGTAGCTGCAGGGAGGCGTAGCCCATCATCCCATGCAGGAGTCAAACTGGAAACCTTGTTGCTAAGAGCACACGTAACCACTGAGTCATCTGGCCGCCTGTCTGCAGCTCAGGGCAGCTCAGTTTAAGGTGCCATGTTCAATTTTAGTTGCGGGTAGGCATAGTCCACCATCCTATGTGGAAGTCCAACTGGCAACCTTGTTGTTAGGAGCACATTCTCTTACCAGCTGAGCCATCCTGCCACCAACTGGCAGCTCAGCAGCAGCTCAACTAGGGCTCAGCTCACCAGCCCATGTGGGAATCGAACCAGCGACCCTGTTCCTCAGAGCTCATACTCTTTTTTTTTTTTTTTGGAATTAACAGTTTATTATGATTTGTAAGTGACATTTTAAAAACATAGGTCCATTAAACCATGTAGAAATAAGTATGCAAAAAGTCTGCAAAACAAAACAAAACATAGTTTAAACATGTTTAGGTATAGAGATTATCTGAAATTCCGGATTTTCCAGTCACTTCATTACTATGCGATGGCAGCCAAGTAATCCTTAACTTCAGTTGGAGTTAGCCTCCTAAATCCAGCTTCATTGCAGATTCCAACTTCTATGTTATCTTCTGTCATTTGCCCTTCGAAGCTTTCCTTCAGGGTTAATATGGCTGTATGAATGGCATCTTCAAGTTCTAGATCTTTGTTGTATCTTTTCTCAAGGAAAGTTTTCCCATTCACATAGTTCTTTCCCATTGCTGTGGCTTTCCAGGCAAAGTATGCTCCAGATGGATCTGACTGAAATAAATATGGGCGTCCCTCATTCCAACCACAAATTAGTAAAGAAACTCCAAATGGACGAATACCACCTGATTGGGTATATTCTTGCATCACAGAAGCTACTCTCTGTACCAGCTGGGCTGTGGGAATGGGCTCTTGGTAAACAAGATAGTATTGCTGAGCCAGTTTCCGAGCTCGGTGCACAAGCACTCTGTAATCTGGGCCCATGCCACTATACACCAAGCCTATATGTTTGGTAATTGGTTCCACTTTATGTACACTTCGCTCATCATACAGAATGGATTTCTGTTTCTTCTCAGTTGCTAATACTACACCATTTGAAGCTTTAATTCCCACTGAAGGGGCTCCTCCAGCTACAGCAGCCAAAGCATATTCAATCTGGACAAGTTTACCAGACGGGCTGAATGTAGTCAGCGAAAAGCTGTAACCACGCTCCGCCATCTTTGCCCGGAGAGCCCCAGAGCTCATACTCTTAACCAACTGAACCACTCTGCCAGCCCTGGTCTTCTTCTCTTGATCTGCATTTGTCTTAATACAAGGTCTGCCAATTAAGTTTGCGAACTTGTTGTAATGCTGTTGCTAACCTTTTTTGATATCAGAGGGATTATTCATTTATGAATTGGTACCAACTGGACAAAGAGTTAACTAACTCTACTATTTGGAAGTGCTGAAAAGGCTACATGAAAAAGCTAGACGACCTGAACTTTTTACCAACAGTTCATGGCTTTTGCATCACGACAATGCACTAACTCACACGGCATTGCCTGTGAGGGAGTTTAGCCAGTAAACTTATCACTGTATCAGAACACCCTCCCTAGTCACCTGATCTGGCCCCCACTGGCTTCTTTCTTTATCCGAAGATAAAGGAAATATTGAAAGGAAGACATTTTGATGATATTCAGGACATCAAGGGTAATACGATGACAGCTCTGATGGACATTCCAGAAAAAGAGTTCCAAAATTGCTTTGGAGGGTAGACTAGGCACTGGTGTCATGTATAGCTTCCCAAGGGGAGTACTTCAAAAGTGACCATAGTAATATTCAGCAATGAGGTATGTAGCACTTTTTCTAGGATGAATTCACAAACTTAATTGTCACCCAAGGTATTATGATTAAAGCAAGTTTCCTATGCACTTTTACATTTACTAACAGAACCAACTCATTTCCATGTGCATCTGAGGTTGGGAAGTGGCATCAGTGCCTTTTGATGGGTCCCAGTTCAGCTTCCAAATAATTATTACTTCTTCTTATAAAAAGTCCTGCACTTTTGAAGCTCTTGTCATTTGGGTTGACCATCCTCCACCCTACTTTGTTTAATCAACACTTTGGATCCAGATGGACTCTTGGTTCTCTTCTTCACCCCAAATCCTGCCATTACCCTGGGTGACATTAGCACACATTTGTCTATTTATTCCATACCCTGGCATATTGCTTCATATTTGTTGTTTGGCCTGCTTATGTAATTTATCTTTACCTCCATTCACCTTCAGCCCTTTGGTTCTATAGCTACACTTGCATGGGCTCCACTTCCAAAATCCTAAGTCAAAATGTGTATGAGTTCTGCATTGCTGGATAGCAAATTACTCCAGAGCTTAGAGGCTTAAAGTAATGCACGCAAATTTAGTATGCTTTTATCCAGAGCATTAAAAATTATTCTCATTGATTTTAAATCCCTGAAACAAAGTGCCCTCTACTCTAGGCCAGATCTTGTCTCTGAATTTCCAAACCTTGAGATCCATTTATAAGTGGATTAGCTTCTACACACTTTAAATGTACATGCTTTAAAATGTTCATATCCTTTGACCTATCCTATTGTACTGTTCTTTGAGGACACATATGATAACATGTTTACACAAACATTATTTATAGTAGCAAAAAAGTGGTAACAACTTAAATCTCCAATTTATGAAATGGTTAAGTAAACTTATGGAATTTTAAAGTGGTCATAGAAATTGATGTTTATAAAATGTTTATAATAGCATAGAAAAAACTCGTTATAGAATGATAATGGAAAGAAGATCAAATCATTTGTATTTATAATATGAAGGCATTATTAAAAATGGGAGCATCTTTTTTTAAACTTTAAAAACATTTTATTGGGGAACACTGTGTTTTTCCAGGACCCATCAGCTCCAAGTCAAGTAGTTGTTTCAATCTAGTTGTGCAGGGCGCAGCTCCTTGGCCCATGTGGAAATCAAACCAGCAACCTTGGTGTTATGAGAACTGTGCTCTAACCACCTGAGCCAACCGGTTGCTCCTGGAAGCATATATTTTTATGGCTGAAGATTTTAATGTTTTAAATTGAGTTGCTATAAAGAGAAATAAAGGTTTGACTGGATAAGATAGTTTATTTTTTCCTTCACTGGAGTGGAAAGGCAAATATGCCAAAATAATTGGATATTTAAAAATGGCTCTGAGTTTTATTTGACCTAAATCAAAACTCACAGTCTTTTGTTTCCCTAAAAGTCTGCATTTTTACATGCTTCGTGGAGATACTTAATAAGGGAATATCAAACTTGCAAGTGGAGTGGTCGCTGCCAGACAACCGGGGACAGCTGGATAACAATTCCAGAAGCTGCTGACCAAACACAGTCTCATGTGGAAGGATGTGCTGTCACTCCCTGGGAAAACAAAAATGAAGGAAGAATACGGTAAAGGAGGAAATCAGCTGTTGGACCAAAGTGGGATTTAAGTATTATAAAAATGCCAACCATTGAAGACAGTTGCTATGCCACACAAAATCCTGAGGTCTGTTTTTTGTCTACTTCTGTTGGACAAACACTTTGCTCAGCACTATTTTGAGAAAGAATTTTTACAGAACTGGCATATCTTTAGCCCCCAACGTTTCCTCTCGTTGACTAATCAACAGGTGTTGAAAAGCCTGTGGCAGAAATATCACAGACCCAGTGTGCTCATTTTAATTTTATACCTATGTCTGTGATTTTGTTTGAATGTTTCATTTGTTGCTATAGGATAAAGAGGTAAATAAATTATTGCTGACATAATTACTTTTCCATGGGTATTCATATAAATTTATTAATACCATATGTTTATTTATGATTTATAAATTAAATATTTTAAATTAGGTTATGATCACACAATTCAAACCTAAACAAATAGTAGAGAATGAACTCTCTTTTTAATGAAAGATGTTGGTATTATGTTTTTTAGAAAGCATGCAACGATCTTGGCTTTTAAAAAAAAATCTATTATATCTGGAAAAAATAAATCGTATTGAAATTCCTTGCCAAGCTGCATGTCAAGTAAGCTTCTGAAACAACCATCACATCATAATCAGAGAAAAACTAAAAAACAAAATATAGTGTTAAAATTGTTACGCTCAACAAATAATTTTCAGGAATGTAACCATTTTCAGGAATGTAACCATCAGGCTTAATTACATGTGACCTAATGAAAGAAGGGGTGATTATCCTCACTGCTTCTCCATTTAACAGCCCAATTGGTCATGTTCCTGAACCTGAGAAGGCTGCTCACAGTAGTGTACCACAACCTTAATGCTGGGGGTCTCATTAATGCCCTTATGCCCAATACTCAAAATTCTTAAAATTACTGGCTACATCCAATCAGCAGTCACTAAATAATTTGCTGTTATCGCGATAGCTAACACAGCAGTTCGCCCTTATCTGTGGTTTCACTTTCTGTGGTTTCAGTTACCCGTGGTCAACCGTGGTCTGAAAGTATTCAATAGAAAATTCCAGAAATAAACAGTTCATAGATATTCAATTGTGTACTATTCTGAGTACCACAATGAAATCCCGGAGCTGTCCTGCGCAGTCCTAGAGTCACCCCACCCTTTTGTTTACAAGCTCTGCCTCCCACAGCCCCAACTTGTTCACTTTGGTCCTGCGTTCAAGCCTTGTGTGGCACTGCATGGTACGTGGACTCCAGCCCTGGGCTGTGAGTATATGTGACTAATAAATTGCTATAAATCACATCAATCCAGTGCCAGGCGTCATGGGTTTGGCCATCCCCATAAGTCTAGAGTACGAATCACTCTCTCACCAATGGGGTGAAAGGAGGTATATCAAACACTTTGGAGGGGATCTAAAAAGACAGGAAATACTAATAGGTAGATTTAATTTGCAAGCAGTGAGGAAGTGTTGAAGTACCTTTTAGCAGGGACTTGATGTGCTCCATTTTACATGCTAATAGATAACCCTGGCAGCAGGGTAGAAAATGGAATGGAGAGACAGAAAAGGAATAGGCTAGAGTTAGAAGGGCATAGTCTGTTTGTCAGTAATCCAGATGAGAAATGTTAATGCTTGCTCTAGCCTTTGGAACATAGGAGAGAAGAGATTCTAGATTCCATAAGTGTTAGGAATTCAAATTCACTGGGATTTAAGGGAAATTAACAATGGTTTACAGGCTTCTTACTTGAGCAGTTGTTATGCGATGATTCTAGTAATCCTGATAGAAAAGGTAGGAGGAGAAATAGATTGTGTAGAGTGCTCCTGGAAGCTGTTAGAATAAGTCTTGTCTTAGCAAGGGTGACTCCATATTGAATGAGCAAAAGCATTTCCATTTTGGACATGCGCAGAGAATTTAGCAGACAACATCCAGAAAGTTGGCTGGTTGCCCTGGTAATTGGGTGTAACCAGCTACACCCCGAAGGTCTGCTACTGAAGATATGAGGACGTCAGGGTTGCCCGCTGGCTGCCTTGATAAGGTGACATCAGGAAGGTACTCAGAACTGTAAAAGAACTGAGGACTTTTGCAGCTCAGAGAGCTGGTCTCAACTGAGAGGTGACCACTCTGTCCCTCTGCTCTGAGAACCCTCCACTCTGCTCTGCTCCCCTCAGACTGAACCTCTGCCAGACTGACCTCTTGGACCAGCCACTCTTCCTCGCTCCACCAGGACTCTGATTGTCTTTGGTACTGGTTCATTACTCTGTTTTCCCCAATTATTGTATTACTCTGTGTGTTTACTGTTTGGTGTATAGATGATTAATGTTTGAGTAAGCATATTGAAAGGCTTTAAGATCTTGTGTGCTCTGTTTCTTTGCTCATGCCATGGCTACTGCAGAGGCCTCAGTCTGTGCCAGGTAGATAGATCCTGGGGGTTTGAGAGTCTCTTGGGGGTTAGTCCCCCTGACTTACTGGAAGAGACTGCAGCACAGACTGTGAGCCTAGCAGTCACTCGTGACATAGATTTAAAGAATACTGTAGCTGAAGTCAAGGGAGAAGTGGCTCTTTGGAAAAGAGAGATTGGCTAAAAATCTTTCAAATATTTCAGAGAAAGAAGTAAATGCATTATGAACTAAATGAGCATTCTTTGGATTTCTCAATTGCTAGATCATCTTTGGTGATCTTTGACAGAGCAGTTTCAGAGCAGATTTGAATTTAAGGAACCTGAGGATTTTGAGGAGGGTGAAGAAGTATAGACAATGGGTGTAGACCATTAAGGGTACTGTGCCAAAAAGGGAAGGGATGAAATAGAGTGGGGGATCATTTTTGTTAGCTTTTTAAAAACGGAAGTGACTTAAGTCTATTAGTGGAATGAACAATACATTTCAGTTGACTGGGTGCAGTTGAGGATACAATATACTGAAGAATACTGGGCTGAGGGAACCAAATCCTGATCATAGGGAGTTAGTTATGCTGGTTGTGAGTTACGTCTGGTGTATTCTTCTCAGACCCTAAGTAAGGATGTTATATGGAGTTATCATAAAGTTGAGAGAGAATTGAGAAAAGAGACATTCTGCAATTAGAAAGGGCTTGAGGAGAATATAAAACACTGTAGGGTTGTAACCATCACTGTAAAATACACCAAAGCCTTGGGGGGCGGGGGGGAATAAAAAAGATATCAGCTATGTTTGTAAATAGTTTGATGGGACAGAAACTGGGTCGTTTTCATCAATGTTCAGAGGCCAAAAAAAAAAAAAAAGTATTGTCCCAGATTATCAAATTGCAGGCAAAAATGTAGAGGAAAGTCAGTAGGCTCAAGCAGTTGAACATGTTAATTAGGGGAAGGTTAAAGTGTTGACTCAAGGCTGTCATCCCGATAAGACAAATATGTAGGATTCCCAAGAGGCTAAAGTGCAGTGAGTAAAAGGGAAGGGTGTGAAAAGTAGAAATGGAGTTTGTGACTATCAAGACTTGGATGAAGTCCAGGGTATGCTCATGGGAGTAGGTTGTTGAAGTGGATAAGAAAAACTAGATTAGTTTTTGTGTGTTGTGTGTTGGTTAAATACAGTGGGGTAGGAAATTGAAAAAGATTGGGTCAAAGCTTATTGAGTTCTCACTTATTAAAAATTGAAACCACTGTAAGTATGATATAGACACTAAAAAGCTTAACATCTCAATAATTTACCAAAACAAAAAAAGCAAAGCAAAATTATTTGTCCATTAGTGAAAGACTTTCAGTTATAGAATGTAAAGTATTTGAGATCATGTAATAGAGGAAATTGTAGGAAGACCTTTTGAATCTTGGCAACATTCACTAGCTGTGTTATCCCTCCAAACCTTATTTGTCTCATCTATAAAATGACAAAAATAATAGTACACACATCATGAAATTTTTGTGAGCACTAATGTGAGACTGAATGTAACGATATTAGTATATTGCTTAGCATACAGAAGCCTCCTCAATTAATGCTACTTCTTATTATAACACAATCCATTATTTCTGCTGCTAGTAAGTATGCTATCAGTTTCTTATTTTATTAGTTCACAACAGTGTATTAGTTTCCTTTTGCTGCAGTTACAACAAATTCAGTGGTTTGAAACAACACAAATTCATTCTCTTACAGTTCTGAAGGTCAGAATTCCAAAATCAATCTCACTGGGCTAACGTCAAATTGTCAACAGGGCTGTTTCCTTCTAGAGGCTCCACAAGAGAACCTCTTTCCTTGCCCTTGCCAGCTTCTAGAAACCACCTGACTCCTAAATTGTAGCCCCTTCTTCCATCTTCAAAGCCAACAGTGTAGAGCCATCACCTTCTGTCACTGACTCTTCTTCTGTCATCACCTTGCCTTTTTTGACGCTTTGCACCTGATTCCCTCTTATAAGGACCCTTTGAGCCCACCTGGGTAATCCATCATAATCTCTTCATCTCAAATGCCTTAATTTGGTCTATTCTGCAAAGTACTTTTTGCTACGAAAGTTAACATGTTCACAGTATCCAGGAATTAGGACATTGACTTCTTGGCTGGGTTGGGGCAGGGATGTGTGTGTGTGTGTGTGTGTGTGTGTGTGTGTGTGGCAGGCATTATTCCGCTGACCACAGGCAAGTACATTAGAGACATTCATGAGGGATGAATATGAAAATAGACCAGTCGTGTGTCAGGCGGCAAGTTCCTTTATTTTCTTCTCAATGTCATCATCAACAAACACATCACAAATTTGCAAATTAATAAATGAAAGCCTGATGGATGTGAAAAATGTCCACCCTCTCTAACCCCACCTTTTTCTTTAAAAACTTGTCTCTCCAACTGATGACAAGAACATATGTCATTCACTGCTCTCTGTTCTCTTCCCTGTGGAACAGTGTCTGTACCTCTGCTCTTACCTTTCCTGCAGACAAGGCAGCTTGTTCTTTCCTACTGTTGCTAAGACTACTCAACACTCACTGTTGTCCCCGCCTTCCACTTGCTAGAATTTTGGTATATTTGTATATTTATAGCATTCATGAAATTAAGGGCACTGGGACATGCAAAAGAGAGGCTAGTGTTGAAACCCAAATTGCAACCATTGATAGGCAGAAATTAAGTGAAAATAACATTAATTAAGGTAGAAATAAAAGTGAGCATGTTGCATTTTCAATTTATTTTTAATGATGTTTCTTGGCCTATAAAAGCAACAAAAACAGTTCACACAGAACAGTAATTAACCACTTCTTGTAATAGAAACTCCAAGTTCATGTATTCTTACATATTATTTGTTTTTCTTTTTGCATGGAAGTGGAGCAGCAAGACCCAGCATCTCAGGTGGAATTTCAGAGTCCACAGTGTCATATATTTCATCTGTTTCTGAACTCTGTTCCTATTTGATTTTATCTTGTTTAGATGCTCTAGATTTCTCTGAATCATTTACCTCTATCTTATGTCCAAATTCCAAAGCCCTTATTATTTTGCCTCAGCAATCTCTTTCTTAAGCCTCGGGTTGAAGAGAAAGTTGCAAAAGTCCTCTTTTTCTAAACCTTCCCCAACCAATTCGCAATGGCGAGAAACGAAAGTGAAAATGCCACTGAGATGAGAAAGGAAACCGAAACTCGCTTCCTACAGGCTCTGTTTTCAGTCCCTTCGCGTCACTCCCTCCCTGTGAGGCGCGCCAGTCAGCAGCTCTTTGGAGGCAGGAGGTCTGGGTCCGGAGTCTGGAGTCGCGGGTGAGGAGTGGGTGGTGTTCCAGAGCCGGACCTGGGGCTGGAGACGGTGTTTGTGTGTCAAGGTGAGGGATATTCCTAGGGATAAACCTGGAGCAGAGATGTTCCGCGGGGGGTTTTAGGTTTCGAATCAGAGGGGGAGGTGGTTTAGGAGCCCCTCTCATGCACACCGCGTCCAGGGTGGAAGGAACTGTGGGCGCCACTGGGCTCCCAAAGGCAATGTCAGGCTAGTTTTTTAGTGTCCCGGGATGCAGGGCTTGGGAAGAAGAAAAGGAAAGGGACACCGTGATGAACGCTAAGGTCTGCAATCTGGAGGAGAGGGGAGAGTGTTCAGACATTGATAGGGTCCTTTTTAAAGGTGTGCCTGTGCTGGGGATCAGAATTATTCAGGACAACCAAGGGACATCACATCTCAGCATAGCCAATAAAACTTAATCATGGACAACAGTAAGCAGCTTCCTCTGTGCAGAATCTTGGACCCAACTCCAAACTTGCAGAATCAGAATCTGCATTTTAATAAGATCTCTCAGGTGATTCCTGTGCACCCTAAATTTCTGTGGCTTAACACAAGAAAAAAGTTATTTCTTGCGCAACAGTTAAAAGAATGTATTCATGGTCAAGGGTCATAATTAGTTTTCTATTGCTGCAGAACAGATTATCACAAATTTAATGGCTTAAGTCAATAGACATTTATTATTTCATGGTTTCTGTGGATCAGAATTCCTGGCTTAGGCTAACTGAGTCGTTTCCTCAGCGTCTCACCAGGTTGAAATGAAGGTGTCTGCTGGGGCTGCCATCTCATCAAGGTGCTGGGTGCTCATTGAGATTGTTGGTGGAAGAATCCCAAATCCTTGCAGCTGTGGGACTGAGGTTCCCTGTTTCCTCTCTGGCTGTTGGGTGGGGCTCCTCTCAGCCTTTAGATTCCACCCTCAGGTCCTAGCCACATGGCCCTCTCACAGCATAGTGGCTTATCTCTTCAAAGCCACAGGAGAATGTCTTCCCTGTCTGCTATGATAGAGTCTTGCATAAGGAAACCCTGATCGTGGGAGAGACTCTCCCATTACATTCACAGGTCTTGCCCACACTCAGGTGGAGGAGACTGTATAGGGCACGTTGACCAGGATGGCTGGAGACATGGAGGCCATGACTTAGAATTCGGCCCACTGCTCATCAGCTTTTCTCCGGACAGTGTTTCAGGAACTTGACTCCTGTCTGGTGGCTCCACCATTCCCTGGGCCTTGTTCTCTGAAGGGGGTTTTCTCCCCTCTAATATATACATAGTCCGTGATTTCTCTCTTTTTCCTCTCTCTCTCTCTCTCTCTCTCTCTCCCTCTCTCTCTCTCTCTCTCTCCCTCTCTCTCTCTCTGTCTCTCTCTCTTTAAAGGTTATTTAAATCAGAATCCAAATAAGGTCCTGACACTACTGTGACTGGATGATAAAAGTTTTTTATAATCTCTTTCATCCTTTTCTAATTTATTTGTTAATAAGTGGGGTTTTTGGTTTTGATTTGTTTGGTTTTTTTTGTGGGTTTTTTTGTTTTTGTTTTGTTTTTGGTCTTACAGAGATTCTCAAAAAGTCTTCCTGATATCATTTAACATGTTCTTCTGTCTTCTAAATATCTTGTTGCTACTAGAGTTTTGATCAAATTCAGGTTAAAAAATATATTTGTTTTGGCTGGAGTATTTCAACAATGGTGCAGTTATTCTACATGGAAGAAGATGTTTGTCTCTATATTTGTTGTGCTATCACCTGAAAATACCAAGATCTATTAATTCATTTAAAGTTGTAAAATGGGGATATTTTATCGTTCAATCTCTGTTAGCTGGATTAGTTCCAGCTAATGGAAGTGAAATGTCCCCATTTCTATTATTTGGTAACTAAATGGTACAGTACTTATAAGAAAGGCAGGTTAACTTCTTGATTCCAGAAACCCTTCATTTTTGATATATTAGCTTTAGATGCTATCTCTGGACTTCTTGTTATGAAAAATGAACTTAGTATACACTCTTGCTTTTTCTACTATTCATCCCTTTCTGAACTTCCCAATTTGGTTAAATACATTATTTTTATATTGTCAGGGTTAGTCATAATTTATGATATTCTTTGACTTTAATTCTTATGATTTGCTTCTATACTGAGTCAAAAATGGAAAAAACGGTAAATAATACTTACAAAATTATGATTATGTACACATTATTCATTTTAGAAGCAATTTATATGTTTGGCTGGGAAATGTTGAACTCTATCGTTAAGACTATATTATTTGAAATTGATACTGTTAACCTAAAAATAAAAGGCCTTTCAAAGTGAGAGTTGATAAGCATTTATTTGAGATCAATAAGAATAGTTATTCAGGAAGCATTGATTCAGTCAGAAGCCCAAAAAATGTTCTGATTAGGTAACAAAGGCAAGGGTATTTATGAGTAAGGTAACAATTGCATCAACAGAAGGATTTCTATTGGTGCAAACAACAAAAATTTTAAAAAAATTTTAGTCTGGTAGCCATCAGTCTCATAGTCCTAACATCTGCTTTGTTGTTATCTTTGCAAAAAAGTTCTTTGGAACATAGTGTTGCTTTAGGCCCAGTCCAAAGGTTATTTTGCCCTGTTTTAACATTCTAATGGCTTGAGGCATAAAATGTGCAAAGCAGTTCCTCTGGCATCGCAGCTCCGGCTCTATTTTCAGTGTCTCCATCTATTAGGTTTTTACATTTTTTCCCCTTTTGATCAATCGTCAGAAAGCAGCACTTATCAGTTATTAAACGCATAATTGGTTCTCTATTGTTAGGTGGCTCATTTTGGGTATGTCATGCCATTGTTGGTCCCTCGTTGCCAGGAAGGCTCATTCCTGGTATGTTATATCCCACATAGGAGGGAAAGTGGTTTCCTTTTCTGAGGAAACTTAGGCCGCATTTGAGCAACAAGAATGCCAGAACAGAGGAAGGTTTTACCATCATGTTTCTTTAAGGGCAGACATTTTCTATAGTTTCTTGAGGTTTCTTATATGAAGTTTCATAGGCCTTAGTGATCATTTCAAAATGCTGAGCAACCATTATCAGAGTGGTGTCTTTATAACATCAAGCTATGCAAAACAAAGTTTTATAACAGCAAACATATCTATAATAACAAATACTAAGTCCTATTTGAAGAATAGCTCTGAACCACAATGTAATACTTGAGGACAATTACCTGAAGATATTACAGAATGATGACATATTAGCAGACATTATATTTAATCATTTTGCTTGTGACCGGATTTTAATTTAGTCCCATCTATATTTTGCCAAAGGTGTTTTATCTAAGTACAATCAGAGGTATTAATAATAGAGCAAACCTTACCTTGCTTAAATAAGTTATGGTCAAGAGCAATTATTTTGTCTAACATAACTTGTGAAGGAAATGTAAAGATGTTTTTCTGGTTGACTATTTCTGGTGGTCTTTGCAATACCTGCCCAAGGAAAAGTAATTTTCCAAATCTGGCACCTTTATTGGGGTTGACATCACCAGGTATTTAAACATTCTTAACTATGTTGCACATTCTATGTAAACATTCTTAACAATAGTTGCACATTTTGACTTGTGAAGTAAAGATGATACCCAATATTGAGTTATTTTTCTAGTCAGAAATTAAGAGGAAAAAAGGAAACAATAATTATTATAGTGCATGCTTGGCCTCATATTTTTATATTTGTGAGATAGGAAGGAATTAAAGTAAGGAAAAAAAGGGAAATATGAAGGTACAAATTATACAGGACTACTCTGGAATCTTGGGTTAGTTATCCACAACAGACATCATCTGCTTTAATTCCAAGTAATTTTAAATTTTCAAATCCTCTGTTGATTGAGCAATCCAATCAGGTATAAGAGATTTCTTTAAATTGGGAAACATGAATCCAAGAATCAATATCTCTACATTCAGTCACATATGGATTAAAGAGTACCTGAAATTTTAGAGGGATCAGGTAGGAAGGAAAAGATAAATGTTTTAATTCTATTTACAAAGGTATAATTTACCAAATTGTTATAGGTCATAGGTAACTTACGGGAAATTTTTTTCTTATATCTGAAAAACAAAGATCAAGAATCAGTAATATTTTATATAAAGAAATTATAAAAATTATAATCCTTATTTATTTATTTATTTTGTCCCATGTTATTAATTCTTATTGATCTTGATGTTTTTGTTAGTAGTTTTATGAATCCAGTTTTTCCTTAGAGTTCTGGAAATCTTTATTCAATTCAATGTTATTGTTGGGCCCAAGGGTGTCAATCAGGGACCGTCTTGGTGGTGAGATGCCCAGCTGAAAGAAGGCACGAGGCAGACTGTGTGCCATAAACACAGCAACAGTTCTTTATTGATCTGAGGCCGGGGCTAGAGAGCAGATCCAAAATGGAAGCGGGGTTTTATGCCCTCATACAAACAACAGCTGCATGGTGCCAGCACACATGCGCAGGAAGGAAACTTACATCAACATCCTGAAATGAACATCAACAAGTTGTTTTTCTTCCCGCTCCCACCCAAGGGGGCGGGGCAGGCCAATCTCCAAAACCTGTAAATATTTCCCACCTGAGAGGCCCTGACAGCTGGGCCCCACACTCCACCCCTACTGGATTTGGGACCAAACCTTTTCTCAAAGGGCCAGACCCTGGACCTAAAGGCCACCCATAAGGGCAACAGACCCACAGGTACCCTGCTGGGAGAATATCTGTGGGTTGTGTAACCATATATCGCCTTCCATCCAACCAAAAACCTGGGTGTTCCACCTTTGTTATGTTGCCACATAACTCCTTTGGGGTCCACCCCACAGTGCAGTTTGGGATGGCTCGCACCTGCTTTATACAGCGAGGGGCCTGCTCTAGCATTTCCACATGCTCCCCTGTCATTCATCCCCACCCATTGTTCAGTGCATAGCCCAGCGAGGGTGGGGCGTTGTGGTATCCTCGTCATAGGAGAGTGTCTGCTGCTTTCCAGCACGAGGTCCAGTATCTGGTTGTCCACCAGGAGCACACTGCAGCCTAGTTTGAGGCTGCAGCTGGTGTTATGAGCCATGGGAGTCCTTCAGCCA